CTAATTAATGCTGTTCAGTTGCTTTGTCACAATCTGTATTGTTAAAAGCGCTATATAAATAAAGGTGACTTGACTTGACTTGACAGATTTGAGAAAATAACTGTTTTCAGCTTTCATTGTCAGACAAAAACTCAATCGAAACTAGAGATTATAATCCGCATGAGACAATGTGTCCCTCACATTCACAATCCTTCTTCCACTCAATATATACTCTGTACAGAATAGATATACTATATATTTATTTTAAAAATATAGTATTATATTTATATTCTGTTTCATCTTAGTACATTTGTATTTCTCAAGTAACCTGCTTTAACACCAAAATAGAAAAAAATCTTTTTAAAATAAGTTTAGAAATGCATGTGCATCTGTACACTTGGAATACATATGAGAATGTAGAAGTTTTAGATATATTTTTCAAGATTGAAAGGGCTTTTTTTTCTTAAATATCATAAAATTTTCAGGATTTGCAGTCGTTTTACAGTCTAAACAACATTATTTTGTCATAAAGGGATATATATATATATATATATATATATATATGACATTAACCGTTTGGTGGCCGTTTAGTTTGTCACATTTTATGTCATATATTGAAAAGCAAACAGTCGCAAAGCATAGTAAATACTCTTGTCTCCATTTTAAAGTTTAGGGACACACATCAGATGCCAGCATCTTGTACCTCTAATGGAACGTTTACACACAGAGATGGAGGTCGCCAAGTGGCTATATTGTTGGTCATAATGGCCATCCCTACTTCCAAACACTCCATATAGACATACACACACACACACACACACACACACACACATATATATATATATATATATATATACACAGTATATATCACTATATATTTTGGTTGCACCACATGACTTTTTTAAATATTAATAATTTATTGTAATTTTAGGTTGTAATCTGTTATATAACTTTAACAAAGCAAAATCTTTCCAAGTACCTCTGTAACCCGTTTAAGTACCCCTGTGCTAGAAAACATGGATAATTCTACACTAATGTTTATTTAATGATTTATTCTAATTTCTGGCCTGATTCAGGTGTGTTTGTCAGCGTGAGAGAATGTGTGCTAGAGCTGCCTGTCGTTAAATGATAAATGTCTTTTGGGGAGGTGTGTCCTCTCACTGCCTGCACCGGCCAGATCAGATGGCCGTAGCGATATAAGACCTCCAGCTTTCACGCCATGTCACTCACGTGGCCCCACTTCCCTCGTACACACACACGTACACAGTCACTCACAGTGACAGGGCCGGAGGCGAGCCAGTGTTGGGATGACACACTTAATTTAGCACCCTTCTCTCTGGAGTGCCCAAGAACAATAAGGCCAGCGTGGGCAAACACCCAACCTTTTGTTAAGCGGCTGTCCGGTGCGTGCTCATAGGAGACGGATCCTGTCCACCATACTGACTCTGTCCACACCCATGCCACAGTCCGCATTCATCTCCTGGTTAACCTCTCCTTTTGTTGTAGAAGAATGCAAGAAATGAGAAGAGCTGAAAGAAGAGGATAACACACTGATAAGAGCACATCGGCACATCTTTTAATGGAAGAGTGCACAGATTAGAGGCTTTTGTTTGTTCGTGAAGTTTATTTGTAATTTACGCTTAACCTGTTCCGGCTCTTTCCTTTCAGAAATAATGAGAATATAAATTTTCTGCCTTTGCTTTGTCTGTGTTATGTTGACTTAACAAAGCCAACATATACTAATCTACTATTTTCTCTAATGCTGCCTCTAAAATTTGTAAAATGAATGTGGCCTAAAGTGTTTAAGCTATGACCGCCCAACTTGGACTGATCGAAATTTAGATTTTCACAAATCTGATGGAAAAAAAAAAATCTGTTTAGCGACTAGCATAGGACGTGCTACCCTTATGAAAATTAAACATGGTTTTATTATAGTAAAAGTGTAGTAACCACAGTTTTACTACAAATGCCATGGTTAAACTATGGTTAGTGTAGCAAAACCATGGTTATTTTGTAGGTTTTTTTTGGTTTCATTTGTTGTAAAACCATGGTTAATTTTTGTAAGGGTCGTAAACATGTTAGTCATGCCAGCAAACATGTTAAAACATAATACCATACTAGTAAAACAAATTAGAAGCATGCTAGCAACATGTTAAAACCTGCTATGTTAAAATGTTAACACTAGCAACGTCATCAGTTCAAAGCAATGTCATGCTAGCAACATGTTAAACATGCGGGAAATGTGTTAAACATGCTACCAACACACTAGGAAAATGCTAGCAGCGGGTTAAAACATAATAACAATGAGATAGAACAGGTTAACATCATTGTAGCAACATGCTAAAACATGGTGGATGGCTGCTAGTGTTTTTAGTCTTTTAAAGGTCTAATAGTTTTTATGTAGTTTTTTAGCAGTCTGAAGTAGTCTAATATGATTAGATAGGATAAAATCCTTCTGACTTTTTTTTTATTTTTTTAAACCTTCAAACTTCAAAGGTTTGTTATTTTAGACTTTCAGACAAGGCTTTATCAAGCTTTTCTCATCTAGTTATTTGTTTGTGCTCTTTAGTGTTGAGCTTTATTGGATGATTTAACCACTATATTATTGATGTTCCACTAAAGTCCACAGGTCCTGCAGTTATGTCTCTGTGAGATTTATTTTTTTGTTTTTTGACCCTGTTTGCAACATTACAAGACCTTCAGGTTGACAACCAGGGGAGGGTAAAATAGAGGCAAGCAGGGTATCACCCGCCTGGGCCTTAAATAATGAGCGATTACTCCCATCAGAGAAGTGACGTGGTGTTCAATTAGCCTCTCCTGCTGAATGATCGCTTGTCATCTTCCCGATGGATGTGCAAAATTAATATGCCTAGATCCAAAACAGGCGAGGTAGCTACCTGCCCAACACAACATGTCTGGAGAGACCCCACACTTACACCGTCATTAAAAGATCATCTTCTTTTTTCTCTCTCAATCTGTCCATCTCTTTCTTTCTCTTTCTTTTCCCCTCTTTAATTTTTGCTCGCTCCTGAGCCTCTCTCTCTCTCACACACACACACACACACACATATCTCAGTCTTAGTTAATGAAGTAATGGATATTCACCCTATGTGACAGATGGGCCGCTAGCGGCAGCACCCTTGTTAGGAAATTAAAAAGCTCGTCAGCTTGTGTTTACCACTCAGCAGGAGAGGCCGTTGTTATTTCACCCAGGAAGCTCTATTCTCTTGTCTTGAACTCTGGGTCTAGGGTGTACAGACGTGCAGACTGACTTAAGGGAACATCCTCCCACACGTATATCTCCATCACCCAGGGCCAGACTGATCTCAGAACAGTTACAGGCCTCATTACCTACAACCCAGCTGATCTTAGAACAAACATATACAGTATGTGTCACCCGAGGCCAGGCTGATCTCAGAACAGTTCCACAACATGAAATAAAATGATATCAAAATCATACTAGAGCACATGATCAAAAATATATGCAGTTTTTTTTTTTATTATTATTTTTTTATTTAGGTTTCTAAATAAAAAGTTTTACACTGAGTCGAGAGGCTCTGAGGGTACACATGCCGTGTAACAGCAAAATATTGTTATTTGTCATTTGGTGCTCTTCAGTTTTTTTTTTTTTTTTTTTTAAAGTGGCTTTCCACAAAAATCAAGCGTAACTTTCAAGCATCCAATACACTACACTAAAAAAACAAAAAAACAGATTCTGTTCCAACCTTTGCAGAGTTTTTTTAGTCTTCTTTTGATAGTATTTAGTATTCTTAGGCTTACAAACTTTTTATTATTTTATTTTATTTCAGATCCCATTACATCCAACTCTATGGTGTTAAAACCTCTTTTAATCATCATTAAATACGATAATAGAAAATCATATTCATAGTATAATGTTAAAATATATGATTAAAATTACAAATATATTACTACATTTTGCCGTCGCAATGTAATGAAAGTAGTGACGATGCTTTTGTTCCTTTTTCTTTTCTTCTATTTTACATGCAGCATGAGAAAGAAGTCTGGCGTTGACTTGTATATGTGTGTGTGTGTATTCATAAATATATTTATTATTAAATGTTCTTTTTAAAATTTGTATTACATCCAAAAAAATTTACATTTCAATTTCTGATATGCTGTGAAAAAAAACTATTTTAAAGACTGACATTGACGAGGTGAAGTTTATTATTTACATGTTTTTAGCCTCAGCAAACTAAATTTTCAAATGTACTTCACTGTCACTCCTTTTGGTACATCATTTCAGCCTGTTTTTATTTTCCTTCAGACTGTGTTTAGATACCAATTACCACATAATTAGGCCAGTTTAACAGTGTGTGACAATTAGGGACCATGGCATTTTTTATGAAAATTCAGGCTGTGGAGTGACTGAAAGAAAAACAAGAAGAGAAATAGGCAGCGAGTGACAGAAACTTGTCGACTCTGGTGTTGCACGCTCCGTGGCAGCCAGAGCAAGAAATCTATTAGTATCCATCCTGACTGCGCGTTAATGTTTAACAAGTCCAGCGAAGTGACACGCCGCCGCAGCAGCATAATTGCTAATCAGCGGACAGTTTTATTCCCTTCTTGCCTAATGAATTTGGCTGAAATGAGGTGTGGGCGGCCGGACCCTTAAACAGGCAGTCAGCCACCACTGATGTGTGTAGGAGAGGAAGGTTAGTGCTCGTGTCATTGTGCTAATGTGCTCTCTAACACTCCAAGGGGAATTTGCATGTGTAGCTCACAGTGCTTTTTTTTTTCTCACTCTCCTCAGAGTGTGCAAATAAACTGTCTGTCCACTTGAGTACAAAATAATTGAGTGTTTTGTTTGTAAGTGTGAAAATTGGGAGATACTTTATGAACCATGGACAATTTTAGCCCTCTTTCACACTATAAATTAATTTATGAGTATTTTCCAGACCAGGATGCTATGATGTTCACAATAATTATTGTATGAGAGAAATTAATACTGTTAAAATTCAGTAATGAGAGTTTAACTTTGAATTTCTGTTTTTGTGTATCAGGGCATGTTGCTGAAAAGAAGCGGCAAGTCACTGAACAAAGAGTGGAAGAAGAAATACGTCACGCTTTGTGATAACGGAGTCCTCACGTATCATCCTAGTCTGCATGTGAGTGCCAACACACACACACACACCGCCAATACATGTGTATTGTATTTGCCTTTCTCTTCACCTTATTGGCCCTGCCCTGTTAATGTTGTTATTATTCTCAGTTCACCCGTCACTGTAACGGTGCAATTTTTAATGTCCTTTTCACTGACGTTTAACGGATTATTGTGTCCGCCTCAGTAAGCATGGTGTCTGATGACACGATCTTGTCCTTAATTACCAGCTCATCTGTTTGCACGCGGCTGACGCTGTTGATGTGTAATATAACGCTGTAATGGCTTGTCATAATCACCAACTCGGACGACCTGTTTGCCCACACACCAATGAAATGGCCGTCTTTAATTGGTTGTTTTCCCTCTGGATTTTTTTGGGGAGTGATAATCAGACCGTATTGTTAGCGCTAACCAATCCCGAAGTGATTTGGCAAACACCACATAGGAGATCACGAATGCAGATGAAAGATACTGAATAGAATGAATGGATGAAGACATGGATAGCTAGTAGTCAGACCTTGCCCTTTGAACAAGAACAAGTTCGTTTTATGGTTTAAATAAACAAGATAGAAACTTTGAACTATATTATTTTTCATGCTCTCTACAGTCAATTGTAGAGAGTCACAAATTCACCACACAAAACACACAGTAGTGAGGGTATGTAATCAGCTGTTTTTTGAGGTCTATAATATTTTCCTACTCTTGAGACATTTCTAGAATACAGGATGCTAGAAGTGATTAGAAATGAAGACAATAAACAACATAGAGAGAGACTTGGAAACAAGAAATTCCAAGTGTACTTGATGTCCGGTAGAATAATTCAAGGGATATTTTTCATTGAATCAGGTGAGCAAATTCTAAGACCACAGTGTCTGTTCTCTTTTTCCAATTATGATTATTTAACATTATAAAAATAGTTTATTTGATGTAAATGCCACATAAAAAATACAAGTGTTACAACTAAACTGAACTTTACTAAACAATGAAAGGGTAACTTTTTAAGTTCATTATAGATTTTGACTTAAAATTGAAAATGTTTATTGAACCAAGTATGTATATAACCATCATCAGTCATCAATGATTTTTTTAATATAGGCCTTAATGAGCTTATTGGTATAGATTAGATATAGACCAATATAATAATAGTCTAAATTGTTGTTGTTGAGTTACTTATTAAAGGGATACTTTACCCAAAAATTAAAATGGTCATCATTGACATTTACATGTTGTTTCAAACCTGACTTTCATTCATCTTTGGAACACAAGTGAAAATATTTTCAATAATCTCTCATCATTCTTGTCTCATCATTGTTTTTTATCCACCCAACCACTTGATAAAGCTTGAAAATGCTGATCAAATATACTTTAAATATACTTTCCAAAGAATTTAAATTTTTTTGGTAAACTATGTATATGTAATGTAATTTGTATTTAGATTTTTAATTTTTTTTTCTGAACCCATCACACGGTTAGATGCCTTCCTGACACATTGACCAATTTTAGTCCAGCCAGCTCATCTCAAGTAGATATAACTACAGACCAGAGATCTCCTAAATGGGGCGTGAACTCCAAAAGTAGGCAGAACCTCCAAAATGGGGCGGGGTCTCCTCGCGCAAATACTTTCACCATTGGCTCTGGCTCCAGCCAATTGTTATTGACTTGCATTTCAAAATAAAACTTTATAAATGAAACATGGTTTCTAGTTCATCTAAAATAAAATATGCTATATAAGTAAATATTCTCCGTGAGAGCAGAGCCCAAAGCTCGTGGCCAGTGGTGTTCAGACTGGAGTTTGAACCTCTGCTTAATGATATAAACGGGAATCACCCACGAGCTCTTCCGTGAGCCGTCCCAGCGCAGCGCAGGGGAAAGATTTCACTCTATCGCTTTGTTCTAAGCAACGGGGGCGTCCCGGGGCTCGAAATTCGCAGGGTAAGAGGGGGTAGTGACGCTGGGTGTAACTAAAAAGGTGCCATTGTTTGGTGAGGTCCGGTTGGGGAGTTATGGAACGATCTCATATCGTATAATCTTATTAACTGTTTATCTCCTGAACTGCAACTTTCTTTACCACGCTATTCAGTGCTAATCCCGCCGTGCAGTCAATTTCACTGGTTAAAGTTAGGGTCAGGTGTACGGTAGGTTTAGGAGTTAGCATTTTTTTTTGTAGCATAGTGTCGGAAATCAACACTTTAATTGACACAACCAATAAAATCTTTAGAATCAGCTGTGGGGCGGAGTTTGCACTGAAGTGGATTGGGGGAAAAATTGTGCATGCGTGTCAAGTGCCTGTCTGTCAATGGGAGGAAGCCACGCCCTATTTTGGAGCTCCCGCCCCCATTTGGAGATCTCCGGGCTGCAGTTATACCCTTCTCGCTCATCTGGTTGAATTAGAGGAAGTGTGCGTCGTCATATACTGTCCCCTCCTCCCTTTGGCTGTGAACAGGTTCCTCTCATCAGCAGGTGTCTGCTACACAGGCATCAATTAGAGTGTTTGCGGAGGCTAATAGGATGAAACTCAATCAAGGCTCTTAATTGCTCAACTATGTGAAAAAAAAAATCACATTAATGCAGCTGATTAAGAGGATGGTAATAGATGCAACCTAATTAGTGAGGAAAAAACTCAAATAACTCATCCATGCACACATCCATTACAACCACGCCACAACTTTATGTAATCGTTTTTTGAGACGCATAACTATTGTGTGTTGATTAAACTTGCTCTGTTTTGTTAAACATTACGTGATTATGGTTTTAGTGCGGTGCGATTTGATAGATTCATCGATGTGGAGCATGAATTTTAAATGCACATCTGCCCCTGAAGTGGCCAGACGATGATCTTTTCATCAACTGTTTTCATTTGAGCACTCAACTCCCTTAACTAAATCCCTCAAGTGGCTTGCTCGTGCTTTATTTTAAATCACGAGTTACATATAGACCAGTCCCCGGAGTGTAAAAACGCAATAACATATGTTCTTCAATAGAGCAGCTTCGTGGAGTCTTTTGCCTTAATGAGCAGGGGCAAGGCTTTGAGAGCGAGAGCATACCACCCAGAACTGCCATACATCAGCTGAGTGCCAATCAAATAACACAAAGCCCTGAGAATCTCTGTGTATGTGTGCTGCACCGAGCAATTTACAGCAAGAGCATAACATGTCCATCCCTCACTAGAGGCCAACAAAAGGGCAATTCAAAGCCAAGAGCTCTCAACACGGTTTAACAAGCCACAGGAGAGCCCTTCAGGAGTGGCGGGCCAACAGCTTGCGGCTGGTAATTGCATCCCTATTAGCATTGAGTAACTTTCATCATCAACGCAAGCAAAGCCACGCGCAAATCCAGACAACGCAGTCAGAATCCAAACACATGCTGCGATGGCATGCTGTGATCCGCAGAAAAGGAAAAAGAAGCTCGGGGGAAGATTTTACATGTTCTAAAAGGCTGATTTTCTGCATACAAAGTGCACTTCACAATGAATATCAAATACATTAATATTGATTTCTTCACCTCCAGAGGGTGGGCAGAATTAACTGTGTGCTGACAAAATAAATTTAGTAGACACTTTTCATCCAAAGTGTCCACTGCTGTTGTAGTAATCCTTTTGTCATTTTTACTAAAGGATTATATGCAGAATGTTCATGGGAAGGAGATCGACCTGCTGCGGACTACAGTGAAGGTTCCAGGGAAGAGGCCCCCCAGGGCCATCTCCACATGTGCGGCCCCCAGTCCCAAAACCAATGGGCTGACCAAGGACATGAGCAACCTGCAGCTTGGACAGACACCAGGTAACGTGATCATGCTTTTGTTTTTTTGTTTTGTTTCGTCTTGTTCTTGTCTTGTTTGTTTTGTTTTTTCATTTTGCTTTGTTTTGTATTAAATAAAATTGGATAATATAACAAGAATTTGATAATTATATGAATTAAGTAATGTATTTTTTATTTTATTTAAAACAATAAAATTATACTGACCATCTATCACTGAAACATGATCATGCGTTTTCTTTTGCTTAGATTTTTTTTAATGATTTTTACAATTATTTAATATAATATAGAAATGTAACAAAATTAGATTACAATATAAATTATAAAATATATTTTGTATTTTTATTTGAAATATATAAATACATACTGTCCATCCGTCCAAGGTGTTCCCCTGCATATAGCTTGAGAAAATAGCCTCCAACATGTCTTTGACCTTACATTAGACAAGTAGTTTGGAAAATGAATGAATAATAAAATATATTTAATTCAGTATAAATTAAAAGAATTAATTGTAATAGTTAATGCATATTTAAAATAATACAAAACATTTCTTTACATTGTTTTATCAAGTGCTCTCCAAGAAAACGAATTACAAAAGTCTTAATGTCAATGTAATAGGCCTAGGAAGCAGTCTTCATTAGTAGAGAATTGAACAATTAAGTTATTGTTTCGTTATTCGTGTAACACTCATTGGATCAACAATCCTTAAGCCCCCCAAGGAGTGTTAAAGACCCTTCTCAGGCACATACACTCACACAAAGCACCAGGAGGACCAAACTAATAGCATGAATATTCAGTGACCCATAATACATGTACTAATTATTGTCATGAATATTAATGCAATCAGCGCTCGTTCTCCAGTCAGGCAAGTCCGAAATGAGCACTAATGAGAGGGAGAGAGAGAGAATGAGGGAAGGAGGGAGGGAGGGAGGGAGGGAGCGGTAGAGGAGAAAAAAGAGATAATTCACAGTGGTACGGCAGTCAAGCTTTTGTAAGTGAAGTATTTGACTGTAGGGCTGGGTCAGCGGCGTGATCACATGCACCTCTTTTTCCTTTGGTTTTAACATCTAATTTTTGCGAGAGCTCCAATTATGCACCGAATCCATTATAGCATATCTTCACACACTGCTGTTCTTGCGCTGTCTGTGTGTGTGTGTGTGTGTAGACCCTTTTCTGACCCCATATATACATAGTGTTTATTTTCCTCCAGACGACCACTGATGTAAAAATGTAGTTTAACAGGGCTCTCCTGAAGTGTGATCAGCTTTTGCCATTTACCCAAAGGTGCTGCCGTCTGATTTATCCGCTACAATGGAGATTAAATTGAGTCGTGACATTTCATTCAGTCGAGTTTGCAACGGGCCAGTGGAGGCCCGTGGGTACACCTTTTTGCAACAACAACATATTAAAAACCAGAAAATGAAGTATTTACTGAACCCTCTTTTTTATGTTTAAACTACATTGAGTATTTTGTGTGTGACTGTAGCTAGAGCCAACGGTATCATCAAATCAGCGTTATTTGCATTTTGTTCACCGCTATTGGACAAACTGTTAGATTTGCTCTGTTTGTAAGCCCAGAAGCCTTATGGTTGATTGTGTTAGAGTCTGTATGTGTGCGCCATATCATATCCTCCCGCATTCTTTTGTGCGCAGTTGTGGTGAAATCTTATTAGTGCGATTAGCTGAGGCTTCCTATGATGTCCACTTTAATGTCCACGTGAGTCAGACGAACCTCTCCCGCAGTTTAATGATGACTCACGGTGGTGATAATAATCAACCTTCGAGTAATCTGATGTCACTGTTTATGCACTTTGACGACAACAAATCAAGATTTTTTTGTGCATGAGTTATAGTTACACTTATTATTATTATTATTATTATCATTACAATTATTACAAAAATTGACCCAAATTAGGGACGCATTGATATAAAAAATTTGGTCAATATCAGTAGCTGATAATCATAATCATAAAATTGCATACTGTCTTGTTTAACTAAATTAAAGCACTAAAAAACAAAATTATTTGAAATGCTACAAATGATTAATGCATCACAACAAAATACAGAATAAAAATTGTCTGTTTTTTGCTACATTTTTTGCTGGTTAGTTTACCCCAAAATGCAAAAAAAATTATCATAATTTACTTGGCTTCATGCCATTTCAAATCCATAAGATTTTCATCCATTTTCGGAATACAAATGCATATTTTATGTTCTCTCATCCATTCATTGAAAGTAAAGGTAACCAAAATTTTAATCTTCAAAAAGTTAATAAAGACATTATAAAAGTCTTCTGAAGAGACACAGTCACTTTATATGATCACATTTAATTTAGGCTTTTATTGACACAATATACACATTGACATGACAGAAGTAACCCCTTACTGAATTATTCATAATTTTTAAATATAAACTTTGATTATGATTACAAAGGTAATCTAAATGTAAAACTTGTGGAAATTACCATACAATATTAAATAACTGACCAATACTGCTAAATTATAAATATTTTACTTATTGTAAAGAATATTTTTATAAACTATTATAAAAACTAGACTTTGCCAAAAAAAACTACACTCTAAATGTACTCTAGAATACAAACAAAAATTATATGGCATTACAGATGACAAGAACAAATCAGAAAATTTGGTGCATTGGGTATATTATATGAATGGTGCATTAATTTTCATGCGTCTCTCTCGCAGGCTCTGTGACCAGTAGTTCTTCTGCATCTCAGATGGCGAGTGGCATCAGTCTGGTGTCGTTTAACAGTCGGCCAGATGGGATGCATCAGCGCTCATATTCTGTGTCCAGTGCTGACCAATGGAGTGATGCCACAGTCATCGCCAACTCAGGAATAAGCACGGGTAAGTGTTAGGACACATTCCCATGTGTAGCTCCTCAAACTGCTGTGGGGGGTTTGCTTGTATGCATGTCGTCGTCTTGAAGGTTTATCTTCAGAACTGAGAACAGATCCTTAAACAGTGATTCGTTATCCTATAGTTGTAAACACACACATACACCCACTCCACCTTTCATTGATCCTTGTGTCAAGCTCTAATGCTGCTTTAACTGTTTATCAAAGTAATGGCCACTCAGGAGAACCACATTACCAAAGGCTCATCTGTCGACGGCTAGCAGAAGAGAAATGTTTGGAGCATGATGTTTATCAGTCTGTCACCTTTCTGTTGTCAGAGAATTTCATACTTGGCTATTTTTTTTTTATTAAATCTTAAATCTCATGTCTTAACAGCCACAGGGGGGGAAATGGGCATACACACAGAGGTCACTATTGGACTGACAGCTGTCAGGCACAATGTTTTATGTGTGCTGATGAACTGCAGTGACATGGCGTGACTAGTTTTAGGCCTGTCGTTTGACCCCTGCCTGTAGTTGACTCTGCGTTTACCCCTGATAACAATTAAAGCTGTGAAACACTTAAATGGGCTCCTGGCCGCGTCCGCAGCAGGACACTACTCGTACACAGCTGAGCCACAGACCCCACATGACTTCAACAGTACATCTTTTAAAATGTTAGGTTTTTTATTCTAATTCTTTTCCACAAAACAGTCATGTTTTGGTTTTTAATGCCCATTTACAATATTTTCTGTCACCCTTAAACCTGTTTAACACAGCACAGATAAACAAAGCTGCAGCATTCATGTTTTTCTCATGTTAAGCACAAACCCCACCTCAAAACTGATTCTGAAGATTTCATTGTAATCACGGTGCTGATTGCCTACACAATGCTAAAACATACTAACCACTAACCCTAAAATGAAAAAGTATCCTTAGTTTAGCATTGGTAGCAACTGGTTTAGAGGAAGAAAAAATCACGCCAACATCAACAAGGAGAGGGTTTTTTTCCTGCGTAACCAAACTGTGACTTTAATTTCTGGCCTACTTCATTTAGAATTTCCTTTAATAATGTCCATTAATGATGGAATTCATATTTAAAGTGAGCAACTTAGAACTGTTACAAAGTTGATCATTATTAAATCTAATTTACAAGATCAGACAGAGCACATTAAATTCCAAATTCACATGGAATTCACTAGTGTAGCTATAAACTGTTTAATAATCTGGATTCAGCAAGTGCTGTTTGTATAATTGTCACTTTGTGTGGAATAATTGCAAAAAAAAAAAATATATATATATATATATATATATATATATATTGATGCATTGCTTTATAGTGCCTTGTCAACATTTTCTGAGCTCAGCATACTGCTTGCAGCAAAAAAAACAAAACCTTCTAGTATGCAGAAACACTACATTTACACATAATGAATTAATTACATTATATTTGTGAACAGTTTACAAAACAATCTGCATTGAAATGTCACAGTTTTGGAAGAGTATGCAGAGCAGTAGGTGAAAACTGGGGAGCGGGGGAATGTAAAGGTAAATTTATATATAACAAAAACACCAAAATGTGTGATATAACACCAAAATTTGAGATATATATAAAAAAATTAGGGATGCACGATATATCGGCCACCATATCGGTATCGGCCGATAAATGCTCATTTTTTTCTGTTATCGGTATCGGCCTGATAAGAAAATTTGGCCAATATCTTAAAGCCGATAAATAATGCATTATTTTCTTCAGAGACACTTCAAAAGAATAATCGGTTATCGGTATCGGCCAAAACTTTCATATCGGTGCATCCCTAAAAAAAAATTAAATAAAGATAAAAATGTTAGTGTTTGTTGACAGATGCCCTCTCTTTAAAACAGTAAGCAGGGGAGTTGGTGGGAGAATCCATCAGTGGCCTCTGCTTCAGTGATATTCAGGGTGGTTGTTCGGACGCTGCGGCGCTCCGGAGGGCTGTGTTATGAGGCTGTGTGAGTGCTTGTATGCTTCCCCCCCAGGAATCTCGTAAAAATAACCTTTCTGCTGCCCTAATGATGTGTCTGTCCACGGCCTGACTGGATCAGATCTGATGTCTGGATGACTGTAGTGCCGGACGCTGATTGCTTGTCACCTCTTGCCCCCAGGAGCTGACGGGAATGAGATCCTGTCTTTTTTCTGAGAGAAGTGAAGAGAGATAAGTGGTAGCAAAGTAATTAACTGACATTCCTCGCTTTGCGCTGTGAGAGAGAGACTGTTGACTAACCTCTAACGTTTTTCTAACGTCTCTAGCCAGGAAGTTACATTATTTTTTTTCATATTAGCTGACTGAAATCCAATACTTTTTTCTTACTAATTTTGGGATTCTGTATTGAAAAATTCATAGAATCAGTTTCTCACAAAATATGTGCATTTTGCAGCATTTTGTAGGTGAAGAAGTCTTGTGTTGTCATTTGTGTCTGAAGTCGCTGGGGTATATTTGTAGCAATAGCCAAAAATGCATTGTATGGGTCAAAATTATTGATTTTTCTTTTATGCCAAAAATCATTAAGACATTAAGATGTACCAAGAAGATATTTTGTAAATTTCCTACTGTAAATATATAAAAACGTAACTTTTGATTAGTAATATGCATTGCTAAGAACTTCATTTGGACAACTTTAAAGGCGATTTTCTCGATATTTAGATTTTTTTTGCACCCTCAGATTCCAGATTTTCAAATAATTGTATCTCGGCCAAATATTGTCCTATCCTAACAAAAACCATACATCAATGGAAAGCTTATTTTATATTTTTTATATTTCAGCTTTGAGTTGGTGTATAAATCTCAATTTCAAAAAATTGGCCCTATGACTGGTTTTGTGGTCCAGGGTCACATTTAATCACCAGAACTGCCATAAAGACATGATCCCTGTCTTCCTCTGAGCCAGTTACCACTATTTGTTAAATTCTCAGCTGGTTTTCACATGTATGAATTATTTCTAATGAAATTATTTTATGCTTAATTATGCATAAAATAATGATGTCCTATCCTAACAAACCATACATCAATGGAAAGCTTATTTTATATTTTTTATATTTCAGCTTTGAGTTGGTGTATAAATCTCAATTTCAAAAAATTGGCCCTATGACTGGTTTTGTGGTCCAGGGTCACATTTAATCACCAGAAACTGCCATAAAGACATGATTCCTGTCTTCCTCTGAGCCAGTTACCACTATTTGTTAAATTCTCAGCTGGTTTTCACATGTATGAATTATTTCTAATGAAATTATTTTATGCTTAATTATGCATAAAATAATTAATTATGACCAGTGACAGAAGGAAGTGCAAACATGACCCAGATGTTTTCTGCTACATCTGTGGGTGTTTTACTACTTTTCATCCAAAGGGTGATGGAAAATTACAGATTATTTTGACAAAATGTGTTAATGGAAATTTGTTTGATATTAAATAGAGTATTTGAACATATTTCTCCACTCCTTTGCAGATTGTAAGTTAAATTATGCATTTTGAATACTACTTATCATCATTAAAATGAAACATTTAACATTTGACTGCTTTTGATATTTTCGCAAGTACATTAAAGACAAGAAGATTTTTCGAATTATATATTATATATTTTTTAGTTATATATCTAAAAAAAAATGTACATGATGGAAAGTTTTTATTAATTTTGTTGAACGTACAAATCCAATTTTTTTGGGATGCTTGCAAATCAGCAGGAATTTTTTTTTTTTGTGGTCAAAGTAAGCTTGCTAATTAATTTCCCACAATGCAATTCTTGTGACTAAACACATACTGACAACCTTGTGCTTTTTATACAAAATAAACTGAGCTGGTTTGAACTGAGATCATTTAAAACTACAGATGCCTTTAAAGTGTAATTGTAAGAGGGTCAAAGTTGAAAAGAGCTACAGTGGTTGACACTTGGCTGTGTGCCGTCTGAATGAGTTGGATCACATCAGAGCAGACTCGTCCTGACTGGACATGGCTGCCATTTGAGAAACACAGCCTCAGTAATGAGCTCTTTTATTCCAGAGGAAACAAAGCCAAGTCCATTTAAAGGAGATAAGATCCCCTCCAGTGATCGGGCTCTCTGTGTCTTTTTGTCTCACTCAGTGTTGTCTTGAGGGCATGGGAAAGGCAGTGACATCCCTGTCTCTTTACCTGGAGCATCCTTAGCTCCAAGCAGACAGTTGCACATAAAAATATCCCCTCTGTCCCTCCCTCTGTGGCTATTTTTGATCCTCCCTCTCTTTCGCTTAATGATGAGAGACAAGCAGCAGCAGAAGTAATGAGTGTCTCTTTGATTACCACTGCTGTGTTTAGGTGCTCTGGGGTACATGCTTTTAGTTCGACCCGCCTTAAGATAAGTTCCTGGCCGCACTGATGTCATGTCACCCAACTTGTTGATTAATGCTCTTGTTTTTTTGTTTTGGTTTGTTTTATATAGGGATGTCTCTTCGTCCTTCTGTCGTTTCCAGGCTAGTAATGGCATAGCAACAACCTAGAAAAATGCACATAGCTAGATATGTACTCTTTGTATTCATGTTGCATTCATAGTTTTGAAAAACTTGCATATTATTTTCAGCGGGTTTATACTGCTGTTCAAAAGGGGTTGCTAATGGTGTTTGTTTTTTTCTTTTCTTTTTTTTTAAATGGTTTTGAAAGAAGCCTCTTATACACTCCAAGGCAAATTATGGTTGCCTATTTTAATATATTTTAAAATGTAATGATTTTCAGCAGCCAGTCTTCAGTGTCACATGATTTTTCAGAAATCATACTAATATGCCTATTTGGTGCTCAAGGATTTTTTTTAATGAATAGAATGTTTAAAAGAACAGCCCTTATTTGAAATAGAAATCTTTTCTAACATTAAAAATGTATTTACTGTCACTTTTCATGTATTTAATACATCCTTGCAGAATAAAAGTAAATTACGGTAATTAATTAAATAAAATCTTTCTGAATGCAAACTTTTTGAACTGTAGTGTACATTAAATAAAAAATTGCATGTGGCGTAACCAATGTATATATATATATCTTTTCATTTACTTCATGAATGTATGCAATTTAATCATTATTTAAAAATTTTTTTTTTAAATATATTTAAGGTGCAAAATAATATAAATTATTTTTTAATTGTATCAGGGAGGTTGTATCACCCTGACGTTTTTCCCCTGAAAAAAAATATTAATGTGAATTTTAATTCTGAAATTTAAAGCACACTCATCAGAGATCAGGTCTATTCAAGTAATTGTTTGTATAAATTGCACTTTTAATGTATCTTTACATAAATAATAGGTCTGGATCAAAAAAAAAAAGTTTCATGTCATTGATCCTAAAAACAAAGGATAATTTTTTTTTACAATGACCTGGCAACCACCCACAAGAATCACTCACTAGTTTGTTTTAGTTTGTATCATTCTCCATAAAAGATGACAGACATTTAGCCTTTGCCTTGAAGTGGATTATTCCATGATAATGTATGTGTTGTGTTGCTCCTTCTCTCCTCCGAAGTAACTGGATATTCTTTAAAACAAAACCTAAAAGCAAACTGGCTGTGACTGAATGTCTGCCAGAATTATAGCAGACGAATTAATGACTTTTTGAGAAAGCATTGAGCTTGAGAAGACAAGGATGGAGAATATGAGGGAGAGGGAAAAGTGTATTTGACGTTGAGGTGTGTGTGAGAGGGAGAGCTCGGACAAAGGGGCTGTTAGAACGAGGTGGTTAATTGTTCACTTTGGGATGCCATCTTGTCAGCAGAGATAAGTTGTCACGTTTTCCACTTGAGCTGAGACTAAACGATTGTAAAATAAGTTACGGCCGTCCTTGGGGCTGTCTGCTGATGCGCGGCACTGGGAGCATGCTCAGTGCCAGCCTAAACATCCCCCCACCCCCTCCCCACATCAGCGCTTTCGCTCCGCCTGATATTGATGTGAACTGAATGTTATTTTATTCTGCCGCTAGTCACAGCTGTCAGTGCCGCTTATGAAAAGTGAAGCAGCCTTCTGATAGCCTGAGCTGGAGAATCCAGCCAAACGCCAGTCAGAACTGGCCTCACACGAACGCGAGCGCTCTATCATTTAAACCAGAGCAGACACCACAGAATATTCAATATGCATGCGGTAAAATAGAGCTGAATGTTTACATCAATCTCTCTCTTTGTGTCCAGATACCGGTCTGGGAGATTCTGTGTGCTCCAGTCCAAGCATATCCAGTACCGCCAGTCCTAAGATGGACCCGCCTCCATCGCCTCACGCCAACCGCAAAAAACACAGGAGGAAGAAGAGCACCAGCAACTTCAAGGTGGACGGCTTCTCTGGAAATGCAGAAGGTACTTCCTGTCTCTGTCCCACTCCATCTGTAGTCTTCTCTTCCTCTCAGATCTGGTCAGACCTCTGCTGATCGTCCCTTGGTCTATAAATTCAGCCATGTTCCTAAGAACCACTGTAATGCATTGATTCTTAAACAATCATTAACATTCTCTCATATCTAACTGCAAATGTTATATGATGTTTCACAGGGTGAGTAATATGTGGGTGAGTGTGAAAAACTATTGCAGAAAAGTCCACTCAGAAAAACTGTACATTTAAAACCCGTTTAAACCTGGAAACAAATAGAAAATTCTATGATGCTGCATTACTAGGTCACTAATCAAATTAGTAGTCATATGATGCCAACATTTCAATAATCAGTACTAATACCTGAAAACTTTAATGAGCAAAAAGTAATGTAATTTGCTATAGAGTGGGGGAACTATGACGTCAGAACCCAGAAGAGTAATTCGCTGCGGGTTCCTTCGAGATTTTCCTATGGGGTTTTATAATGGGGTTTTTCAATTTATGAGTAAAATAAAGCCTGTGGTAAACATAACTTGACGATACTTCTACGTTTTGTTCTACGATGTAAACTGCTCACACTCACAGCCCAAGCGTTCTTATCTAGTTACTTATTAAAAACATACGTTTTCAAAAATTAACATAACTGCTTCAAAATTTTTGTTTTGGGTATGGATGCGTGTAATTTACTTTGTAGCACAAAACGTAGAAGTATCGCCAAGTTATGTTTACCACAGGCTTTATTTTACTCATAAATTGAAAAACCCCATAGGAAAATCTCTATTACACACTCCATTTAACTTATGTAGTTATTTGAAAGTTATAAAGTCAGTGATTAAAAAAAATGCAATAGAACAGCGTTTTTAAAGTTTTTCAGTAGAGGTATTTTTAAAGCTGCTAAAGTTCTTCAGACAAGAAAAGTTACTGTTTTTATCTTGTCAAAATTGCTGTCTAATACACTTTATTTATACTGCAGAATTTATTATATATAATTTATGAACAAATTATTAAATTAGAAAAGTGGAGAACAGCAGACCTTTTAAATAGTGTTGCTGTATATATGGGCCATTCTACAGAATTGGTGCAAACTGCTGTCCCACAACCAAAAAACTAATTTAAAAAGCATTTAAGTAATTAAATATTCTATGTTTATTAAGATATTTCTATTATTTATTGAAACCCACAAAAATAATTAGAATATTAGTAATCTTAATATATATAAAATCATCATTTATTGGGTACTTTCAGTTGGGAGGTGGCCGTCTCAAACCCTGACCCCTAAATTTCAACTTACTGTATGAAAATGATATTGAAATAATTTTTTTGTTTTTTTCCATTGTTGTTTTTAAAAGTATCTTTTTGATTCAACTTCACTGCATTTTTCATGTCACTTCCCGAAACAGTGTATGTTTTAGTCCATTGGCTGAGACTGATTTTAACCACACCCATAAATTTATAATCCGCAAATATTCCAGTGTCCCTCTCTCTCATAGCTACAAGGTGTGAGTAGATAGGTCTCAGCATTTTGAGGTAAATGTGTTCAAAAGTCTGAAAAATCTGTGTGTAACTTTATGGATCATTTAATTAGTCACTTAATTATCTCATTAACTTTAACTCTTTGAGGACTTGGGATTTGACTTGAATACTTGCTTGTGACTTGAAAGTCCCACCTCTGTAAAATACTGATATTCTGGTCTATAACTCCTCCCGAACTTCCCGCTGCCCTGTATCTTGGTCTCTCATTGGCTGTAGGTCATCACCGATGTGTTTTTCAGTCAGAACTCATTGCACACAGCGTGATTGTGAATCGGCGACAGCTCGAGATATTTAGCATGCCAAATACTTTGCGGGCGTCGGCGACGCATCGGCGATTCCCTCAGATCGCGTCTTTGATAATTTACACTGCGTGATTGTCACTCGCGTGCATGAGCAACAATTTGCCTCCGATGTCGGGCATTTGTCGGCGATTTCACAAAACCTGTCGGCGAGTGAAAAATCGGGCTAAAATCGTGCAGTGTGAACTCTGCATAATCATGTGCTGATTAGCATCTTTGAGCTAGGTTCAAAAATATCTAAAATTGTCGCTACCGAAACATTTGGTGGAGTTTCAGTAGTGACATTTTTCATAAATTTTTTGGGCTGTTGTCCCATAGAATTATCACTACCGAAACAGTCACTACCAAAACATGTCGTCATTGTTTCGGTAGTGTCAAAAGGGAACACATAATCCTCATATTTGGAGGAAATAAACACAATTTTTGTACAGTTTTGCCATTTTTTTGTATTTTAGTATGTTTTAGTAGTGGTTTAGAATGCGAGTTAAAATTCTGTAATGTGATGTGGTTCCTACCAAAGCATTACGGTCACTACCGAAAATGTGCTGTCATTACCGAAACATGGGATGTTTTGTCAGAAATAAAAGTATGCTGAATTATCAGCTAAGATGGTTTTTGGTTCAATGTTTATTCAAACTAATGAATCCTTAACTTTGAAATCAGTATGATTAACTTTTTGCCTTTTACAAAGAAAAAATGGATTCAAAATACAACAAATCTCATAAATTACACATGAAATATTGTTAAAATTGTAATTGTTATTGATTTACCTCTAAAAAAAAAATTATAAAATGGCTAAAAAATTTATTTACAATCTGGATGTAAGCAAAATCTTAATAGGTCAATATAACCCTTCTAATTGAATTATTATTACTGTGTTTCTGTAGTGACAAATTTTGGGAAAACTTTCTGAAAATGCAATATGAGAATTAACTGCACAATTACTAGAAATGTGTACCTTGAATATTATACAATTTGCATACTTACACATTTTTTGGGAAAAGTTTTTTTTTTTTTCAAGACTTTTCCAACTCTGACTTTGGACCAGTTCTGTAGAATGGCCCATATACATTCATCTGTACATTTGATTATAATCAAAGAAGCCTTCCCATATACCAGCATGTATACAAACACCGTACGCTGCATACACTGCTGCTGTCACACACACATAAATGCAAGCGAGCACACACCTTCATGCAGTGAAGTTGTGTCTGCTGTGACGGTGCAGTGGAACAGATGTTTCTGAGCAGCAGATGTGTAATATGTTTCCTGCTGTCAGTATGGATCAGGCAGCTGACAGGCCTGCGTGGAGCAAGAGAAATATGCTGAGTGATTATTACACACTCACACAGACAAGCCAGTTAAACGCCGTTTGTCACTCACACACGCACAAACTCCACTCATCACTGTAGCCACCATTCTGACGCAATGGATAGATATTTGTATTTATTTTATTATCCGGCCTCAGTAACACACTACCGTTCAAATGTTTGGGGACAGTACGTTTTTAAAAATTTGTATTAACCTTTATTCAGCAAGGGTGCATTAAATTAATAAATGAGTTAAAAATTACGCTAAAGACTTTTACATTGTAGCAAAAAAATCAGCATATTAGAATGATTTCTGAAGAATCATGTGACACTTATGACTGGAGTAATGATGCTGAAAATTCAGCTTTGCCATCTTTGAAATAAATACAATTTTAGAATGTATTAAAATAGAAAACTGCTATTTTAAGCTGTAATAATATTTCAATATTTATCAAACGTGTCCAGTAACAAACTTGTATTATTCTTTGAAAAATTTGGATAAATAAATGGACCTAAACATTTATTTATTTTGCAACTTTTTAAAAAAATCTTGAATGAGGAATACGTAATATTTAGGATTTCATGGATATGCCTTGCTAAATTTTTACAATTTTGTGTATGCATTTATACCAAACAGTAGCACTTTGTGTAAATGGGTTTTCAGTTTACAGTAAGTAGTTCATAACCTCTTGACAGTGAGAATACAGTTCTAAAGTGTTGTAAGGTCGTCTGTGTATGTTTGTGTGAGAGAGGAATGATGGATGAGTGTGTGTCAGCTCAGAGAGTGTGTGATTAATTAGACTGCGCTTGTGTGGGTGGCCACAGCCTCTTGAGAGCTGAGGATCAATGCTTGTTTAAAATGTTCCCAATCACCCTTATTGATCCTCTCCCAAAGGGGGCCAATATATTGTCAGTGAGGGAAGAGTATGTATGCATGTATGTATACACATCAGTGTGTATCCGAATGAAATTTAATCAGCATATTTCAAGCAGTTTAAATACCATACATTTATGCATTCAGTGGTTCTCATCTAGGGGGTTGTGACCCAAAAAATGGGTCACAGATCTGTTACCGGACAGAACAGAAAAACAATGCCAAGGAGATCTCTGTAACTCATGTAAGATTGACAAAATGAATCATGTATAAGCAGTGGCTTTGACTGAATACACATAGGAAAATGTTTTCTCTTACAATGCATAGATAAGATAGTAAAATATATAGGTGTCAGGCAGCATTTTGGTTCAAATTCTGGTCACTTGGTTGAAGCAAGTCAAATAAGACAAAAACAAACAGGTTCCATTACAGTTTCAAAATATGCAAAATAAGATAAAGCAAAGCCAAGACTAAGCTTGCACTATACACACACTGCAATGTTTTGTGTTCTGAATGTTATAATATAAATTATATTTTAGCATTAAACAAATTACTGTATAGCATATACTACCTTTTGGGATCAGAAATAATTTTTTCAAGAAATTTATACTTTTATTCAGCAAGAATGCATGAAATTCATCAAAAGTGATAGTAAAGACATTTATAATGTTACTAAAGATTTCTATAAAAAAATAAGCATTTCATTCGTCAATGAATCCTAAAAAAAAAAGTGTATCCCCGTTTCCACAAAAATATTAAGCAACAGGATCATGTGACACTTGGGACTGGAGGAAAATGCTGAAAAATTCAGCTTTACCATTACAGGAATAAATTACATTTCAAAATATACTAACATAGAAAACAGCTATTTTAAATTATAATAATATTTCATAACTGTTTTTACTGTATTTTTCCTCAAATAAGTGTAGCCTAGGTGAGCATAAGAGACTTCCATAAAAAAAAATGTACCAGCCCCA